GAAACCGTGTTTCATTTCAAAAGTGAAACATAATGTAAAAATAATCTGAAAACAGCGAGATTTTATATTACTCCAAATGGGAATATTTTAACGTTTTATGTGCTAAGTTTATTTATTAAATATCATGTTCATCGCCCTTACACCACATAATATTCAAAATATTTAAAATCAGCATATTTTTAGAATTTCCGATAGACAGTCTCGTGCGTTGGAGATAAAAATGTGTTTTTTTACAACGTTGGCTTTGAAATCGTTGAGTATGTTAATGAAAGAATTTCCTAAAGTCTTCCAAATTATCAAATAGATAACGTAAGAAATTTAAAATTCGGGCTTCCAGTTGCCCATGCACGGGTAGTTTGAAAAATATTTTTCAGTGTTCATTTTGATGAGTGATGGACATTGTATATTGCTGTTTATATTAGGATCAGCTCCCGTCAAACTTCCGTTTCGTAAACGAGATTCGATAAATCCTTTTTTTCCCTTGCGTAATTTTTAATGCAGCAACGTCTTGCGAAATACCTGTAGTCGGTGACCTTCGAAAACATGGCAGAGAAAGCAACCCAAGGCGAAAACAATGCAATACTGAACATCGTGAGAGCAAAGAAAACAGAACTATCATAGCTCTGAAACATTACATAATTAGAAAGGTCAAAAGAAAAATGTATTTAAAAATTATAATTATATTATATGAATGTTTAAAATTCTAGTAAGTGCTCATTAATTTTTATTATTTTTTTTTTCAGTTTTTAAATGCTTAAGTTCTTTTTCAAAACTTTTATTAGTTTAATTCAAAATTATGAAACATAAAAATTAAAATGTTCCTTTTCCCTTCTTCGGTCACAAGTCATTATACGGATATGATTTCCTACTTGTAAAGCCGCAGGAAACGCATGACTGAGGCATTATTGTTATAGGATCATGTGTAGGTGCCTATTTCTTTAACACAGTATATTCGCCGACGATTGTTTTAAACTGCGAAGCTATTGAACCGCTCAATTTTACAAATACGATATTTTGTACCGTTGTGTTTTAGAACTGCGATGCTTCCTGTTTACTTTCTCTTCTCCCACGATGTTTTGTACCGCGACGGTTTCGCCTTCCGTTGTTTCCTCCGCGACGTTTTCGTCGACGATGGTTTTCCGCAAAGATTTCGGTTATAACCCCGGCAGCTTCATGTCATTGTATATAAACCGTCGAAATCATTCTTTCAGAGCATTGACAACGAGGAAATATGCGGTGGAGTTTTTATTAGAGTAAGCCAGAGCTATCTATCCTTCTTGCTAATGGATTGAATTTCATGTGGTGTAAGAGGGAAGCATGAGATATTTCATAAACAAAGTTAAAACACAAAATATTAACAACAGAAAGATAAAAAAAGAGTTTTACAAACAATCTTACTATGAAAACTGAACGTTGATATGATGAACTGAGAAAAAAACTGAAAAAAAAAAAAAAAAAAAAAAAAGAAAAGAAATGTATGTGCCAGCACTTACCACTGCAATCGGAAATTTTAAATAAATGTTGCTATGCTGATTTTAAAGCATTTGAAAATTTGCTGTAGAAATGTATACGATGTAAGAGCGAAGAAAAGGATGCTTAATAATAAAGCTAAAGAGACGAAAAGAAAGAATTTGTCAGGAACGAGTGCAACAGCAGATTGGTAGATTGCGAGCTCAGCCAGAGAGAAAAAAAATTCAACAAATCTTTTCAGTGATCACTAAAGTCTGAAACTTTTCAGAGTTTTTCTTCTCTCAGTTCATCACGTCAGTGTTCAATTTTCTTAGCAAATTTACTTGTAATTTGTTTTATTATTATTACTAACTTTTGTCTGTCAATTTTATTTCTTTTCAACTGCATTCAAGATAAGTGTAAAAATTTGCTGTATGATTTGAGTTTCCTAATGCATGCAATGCTAACAATGTTTTTCTTCTCTCTTTCCAGATATGGTGTTAACTGTACGATTGCAAAATCTTTCATTAGCCGCCTCTCCCGCGGACATACGACAGTTCTTTTCCGGACTCTCTATTCCAGAATGTGGAATCCATATCTTTGGTGGTGAAGAAGGATTAGTTTTATAAAGTTCAGCACAGATGTAAATGCTGTACTTGCCTTGGCGAAGGATGGTGGGGAAATTAAAGGCAGAAACGTAAAGCTTCTACTTAGTAACGAGAAGGAAATGGCGATTATGATTAAGAAAACACAACCATGGACTTCTGGAAATATTCAATTGGATCTTTCTTTACTGTTTCCTAGTTTAAATCCGGAACATCTCGACAGACCATCTACCTTTAAAATAAACGAAAATCCACATTGTAAAAGACCTTTATCAAGAGATCCCCGATTGGACAGAAATTTGCATTCAAACCGTCGTCAGAAGATCAATGATATTTCTGATGAATTGTCCATCTGCCAGGAAAGCCTCCTGGAAGAAATGTCTCAGTGATTGCAACAAAATTCTTCCTTACAGTCAAATAATATATGTGCAACACACTTTCCTAATGCTCAACAATTCTCCATGCCTCTTCCAGTTTCCGTTGACTCTACGTGGTTTTCTGCTGTACCTAAATCTGAATTTGAAGTTTCTGCAAGGAAACCTCTTTTACCTGCACCTCCAATTTATAAAAGCAAGTCTCGACTGAACACGCCGACCAAAAGTACTTCTCATAACCAGTTTCTCCTTTGCCATCCGTAGAATAACTCTTTCAGAAAACAACGCACAAAATTTCAATGTATATTTATAAAGTTTTTAGTGAAGCTTCTGTAATTTTAATGCAGCTCTTAATGTATATTTGTTTTAATACACTTTTAAAGAAATATAAAGAATATGTAATGGCCACAGTTATATGTAATAATATGTAATGCAGTTTTCCAAAGACTAATTTTAAAAAATAAAAGATTTTAACACTGAACATTTAAATGTTTTTTAGAATTTGTGTGTCTACTATATTTACAAAATATTAATATCTCAAGAATATTCCTAATTTTATGTTAATTACTAGATAAGTTTTAAGGAGTTTATTTTATTCTCAAATTTTTGTTGCAGTTATATAAACGTTAAATAAGTTTTGAAAATAATGCTTCCCGAATACATTATTCTTAGAATGATGTAAGAAGAGTAAAGACGGTTGCTTTGGTAATTAGTTTAATTTATTTATTTCCCATTTGCTGCTAAATTCCTTTGGTTCTGCTATCCTCTGAAACTTAATAAAAGCTCTTCGTTTTAATATAGATAAATATATTCGAACCTTGCATAATTGGTTCTCTTAACCCATTCCCTGCCATGATCCCCATATGGGGATCGCTTACGTTTGTATACATTGTGACGTCATGCTGCACCTGGGTGGTCCCATACGGGTGGTCATGCTTTCCTGAACATTGTAACTAAGGGTAGAAATCTTCTGAATTTCCCTTGTTCATTGGTAAGTAATTAATGTATTTATATATTATTTATCCTCATACTGTAATTTGGATGGGTACAATGAACCTAGATACATCGATCCCCATTTGGGGATCATGGCTGATACTGACTAAAATTGTAAAAAAAAACTGTTTTCCTTTTTTTTTCCAAGAAATGTCGCGTAAAAGATATGTTTTTTAAAAATAAATAGAAGAAATTGTAAATTCTGATGATATTTTTGCATCTGACGATGACGACGATAATAGCCCCATAGATATTGTTGAAATTCTACCAGAGCAGGTTGATGAGATTTCAGATAATGAGGACATGGCTGACTACGTAATTGATGATGAAGAACCACTTGTGTTCCCAGGTGTGTTGAAATTCACCGTGTGGCAGGATTTGAGGAAAATGTTTTAGTGAATGCAACTGAATCTTCAGCAAATGAAGTAACAAAGGTACCGGCTTACCACCTGCTAAAAAGAGAAAAGAAGTATTGACTTCCAATTGGAAAAAGAATGAACCTATGTACTCGAAAGTATATGAAAATTCTGACGTTATAGAGACAAGGCGAAATGATGTCATTAGAAAACTCAGGGTAAAATCCCTGGTAGAGTGTTTTGAAATACTTTTTGATAATGAAACTGTCACCTATATTGTCCAGTAGTCTGTAATATACGCCAGACAGAAAAACAGTCATCAATTTCAGCTTTCTAATAACTGCCTAAAATATTTATTGGAATACTTCTTTTCACTGCATTCACTTCCGCAAGAACAGTCATATTGGTGTGAAAATGAAGACAGGAACATTCCGTGTGTTAGAGCATGCATGAGTCAGAATAGGTATCTGGAAATTAAAGGTTACCTACATATCAGTGACAACATCGATTCAGAAAGGATTCCACTAGGTGAACGTGATAACCTCTTCAAGATTCGCCCATTGATTGACAATCTGAATGACAAATTTCAACAATTTGAGGTGTTTTCTGAAAGTTCGAGCACTGACGAACAAATGGTTGTTACTATGGACATCACTACCTCAAACAATTTTTATACGTGGTAGCCAGTGCGGTTTGCGTTTAAACAATGAGCTATCTGTTGTTCACAGACTGGATATTGTTAGACTCAAGTGTATGAAGGGAAATCAAAGAAATTATGAGATGATGAAAGCATTAGTTGGCTTGGGACATCTGTTGTCCTTCAGATAGTATCTATTCTTCAGACACCAAATGCTCATAAAGTTTACTTCGACAATTTTTTCACAGGATTTTCTCTAAAGAAACATTTGCAGGACATTGACGTTAGAGCAACAGGAGTTGTTCAATTCAACAGAATGAACAAATGCCCTATTGTAACAGACAAAGAGATAAGGAAAACAAACGCGGGGCATATGACTACACATTTGATTCCCGTAATGAAATTTTAGCTGTCACGTGGAATGACAACAGTTGTGTAAGGCTTCTGTCTAACCCAAACTGATATCAGAATATAACAAATACATGGGTGGAGTAGGCAAGTTGGATTGGAATGTTCAAAAATACAGAATCAGAATAAGGGGGAAAAATGGTATTTTCCTTTGCTTACTAATGCCATTCACTTAACAATGGTTAACCACCACGCACTGTATTGTATTTCAAATGATAAAATTCCATGGCTAGAATTTAGGAGGATGGTTGCTAGAGGATATCTTGCTTTATCTTCAGAACTCTCAGATGCAAAAAAGGGTGGCAGGACTTCTTTCACTAAAGCATCAATTACTCGTGTTCCTACTGTTATCAGAACATCTGGTAATCATTATATTGAACGGACCGAAAATGGTAAACAAAGAAAATGTTCAGTGTGCAAAACAAATGCAAGGAAACAATGTGGAAAATGTAATATTGGATTACACGAAGACTGTTTTGAACGCTGGCATTAAAAGCAGATAGTGTCAGCCATGATCCTCATATGGGGATCGGACTTAAATTTAAAATTTCGGAAAAAAAAATTGACGCATTTATGAGAAAAACATGTTTTTCTTATTATTTACATGTAAACTAACAGAAACAAATAAAAATTTCGCAGTTAAAGGGTTATTGTACGAAGGCAATTACCGTACTTACTCGGGTTATAGTCACATTTTTTTTCCAATTTTTCATTGTGAAATTCTAGGTGAAACTAATACGCGGGAAAGCCTACTGCACAATATTTTGTACTTTTGACGATTTTGTTGCTTCAAAACATGCGATTATTACGCGAGTAAAATCGGTGCTCCATTTACAACTTCTATTGAGTGGAGTTTCTTAGAATACTGAAACACAGATTTCGGACAGTTTTTTGGAAACAAAAAGAGGCGTAGGAAACATTATTTAATTCGTTCATTATAGGAAAACACATTTAAATCCTGATGCGATATATCTGATGCGATATATGATCTTATAGTTACTCAGAAATAAATATTTTTGATAAAATTTCCTGTCGAATTATTTTGATTCTTTCTTTAGTGCATGGAAGATTAAACATTAATGAATGAACGCAAGGAACATGTTGCATTGAATCTCGGCTGTCGTCCAAAGCACTCTTTCTTTAAATTTTAAATGTTTCTACTTGATGAACAGTTTTATCGTAAGAAATATTTTCGCAAAACCATCTACAAAAATATTTAAAGTTCCAATCCAAATTTAAATATTTGCTCCTATAATGTCATAAAATGTATTCGAAAACAATTGAAGCTTATACATACAAAAATAATATTGACTAAAAGAGGAAAAGATAATTTCGATGCATTAAAGATATTTATACTAATGAGATGGAAGCGTTTTTATGTTTAGATTAAATTCTTGCACCTTACATGAATATTTGATACTTCACGATGTAGGCCTTTTTTAATGATTTTCAGAGCGATCCCATATTTATAAACGTTTTCGATTAAAAGGCTGCTTAGTACAAAATATTAAAGGTATGTTTAGGCCATTTCAGCAAGTCATGGGAACTGTGTGCTAAACTTCGCGCAAGATTCTTCGAACGACTTTTTGCAAAACTCAAATTTTAAACATGTGTTGCTCTTGTACTCGACAAATTGTTCATGAGCGTTTAGTGGTAAATTCTAATAATTATTTCCGTTGAGTAAGGGTACACGAACTCAGCTTCTTTTTTTTTTCGAGAGAAGCATTTAAGGCATTTAAAGTAACATAAAAATTTAAAATATTTTTGATACCAATTCTGCAACTTTCCTTTCTATCTTTATCAATAGTTTTAAGCATTTCTAAGAAAACATTTTTGACTTTATTTTTCCGTCTTCGTTAATTTAATGAAACATTTTGTTTTATATTTTAATTTAAGTATGTTAGAATTATTTCCGTGAACTGATACGTTCAAATCAATCCATTATTTGAAAATTATAAACCATAATTCATTGGGAAAATTTGAACTGAGTAGATTTATTTTTATATAATATTATTTTGTTTCAGTTTTCAAATGTGACAAGCCGTACCTTCGTCCTTTTTTAGGATTTACTATTCTCTTGAGTTAAAAAGTCAAAATTAGGTATCGGAATACGGAACAATAGATTGTTAATAGTTGGGCCATTTCATGAAATGAATGATTTTTATGTCTTCGTAATGCACATCATATAATCAGGCAGTTGCTTTTCCTTGCTACGACTGTTTCCCGATAAATTATACATGATTGATTGCAATAAACATAATATTGATTGCAATAAACATAATATTGATTTCATGAAATGAATGATTTTTATGTCTTCGTAATGCACATCATATAATCAGGCAGTTGCTTTTCCTTGCTACGACTGTTTCCCGATAAATTATACATGATTGATTGCAATAAACATAATATATGATTGCAATAAACATAATATTGATTTCATGAAATGAATGATTTTTATGTCTTCGTAATGCACATCATATAATCAGGCAGTTTGCTTTTTCCTTGCTACGACTGTTTCCCGATAAATTATACATGATTGATTGCAATAAACATAATATTGATTGCAATAAACATAATATTGATTTCATGAAATGAATGATTTTTTATGTCTTCGTAATGCACATCATATAATCAGGCAGTTTGCTTTTCCTTGCTACGACTGTTTCCCGATAAATTATACAGATGATGCAATAAACATAATTGCAATATTGATTGCAATAAACATAATATTGATTTCATGAAATGAATGATTTTTATGTCTTCGTAATGCACATCATATAATCAGGCAGTTGCTTTTCCTTGCTACGACTGTTTCCCGATAAATTATACATGATTGATTGCAATAAACATAATATTGATTGCAATAAACATAATATTGATTTCATGAAATGAATGATTTTTATGTCTTCGTAATGCACATCATATAATCAGGCAGTTGCTTTTCCTTGCTACGACTGTTTCCCGATAAATTATACATGATTGATTGCAATAAACATAATATTGATTGCAATAAACATAATATTGATTTCATGAAATGAATGATTTTTATGTCTTCGTAATGCACATCATATAATCAGGCAGTTGCTTTTCCTTGCTACGACTGTTTCCCGATAAATTATACATGATTGATTGCAATAAACATAATATTGATTGCAATAAAACATAATATTGATTTCATGAAATGAATGATTTTTATGTCTTCGTAATGCACATCATATAATCAGGCAGTTGCTTTTCCTTGCTACGACTGTTTCCCGATAAATTATACATGATTGATTGCAATAAACATAATATTGATTGCAATAAACATAATATTGATTTCATGAAATGAATGATTTTTATGTCTTCGTAATGCACATCATATAATCAGGCAGTTTGCTTTTCCTTGCTACGACTGTTTCCCGATAAATTATACATGATTGATTGCAATAAACATAATATTGATTGCAATAAACATAATATTGATTTCATGAAATGAATGATTTTTATGTCTTCGTAATGCACATCATATAATCAGGCAGTTGCTTTTCCTTGCTACGACTGTTTCCCGATAAATTATACATGATTGATTGCAATAAACATAATATTGATTGCAATAAACATAATATTGATTTCATGAAATGAATGATTTTTATGTCTTCGTAATGCACATCATATAATCAGGCAGTTGCTTTTTCCTTGCTACGACTGTTTCCCGATAAATTATACATGATTGATTGCAATAAACATAATATTGATTGCAATAAACATAATATTGATTTCATGAAATGAATGATTTTTATGTCTTCGTAATGCACATCATATAATCAGGCAGTTGCTTTTCCTTGCTACGACTGTTTCCCGATAAATTATACATGATTGATTGCAATAAACATAATATTGATTGCAATAAACATGATTGCAATAAACATAATATTGATTTCATGAAATGAATGATTTTTATGTCTTCGTAATGCACATCATATAATCAGGCAGTTGCTTTTCCTTGCTACGACTGTTTCCCGATAAATTATACATGATTGATTGCAATAAACATATATGATTGCAATAATAATATTGCAATAAACATAATATTGATTTCATGAAATGAATGATTTTTATGTCTTCGTAATGCACATCATATAATCAGGCAGTTGCTTTTCCTTGCTACGACTGTTTCCCGATAAATTATACATGATTGATTGCAAACATAAATGATTGCAATAAACATATATTGATTGCAATAAACATAATATTGATTTCATGAAATGAATGATTTTTATGTCTTCGTAATGCACATCATATAATCAGGCAGTTGCTTTTCCTTGCTACGACTGTTTCCCGATAAATTATACATGATTGATTGCAATAAACATAATATTGATTGCAATATTATGTTTATTGCAATCAGCATTAACATTTAGTACAAATATACACTAATTTCACTCATTTTATCACCATTACATATTTATATAATAAAAGGGATTTTCATTCGTAAAGTCATTTTTCATTCCATTATATTCTTTTTAAAAATTTTTTTGTACTCATTTTGTGTTCGATTTTATTGCAGTTCTGTGGTATGCGTGTCAATTTAAATTACCAGGCATTCTCACATTATGGACATGACAAAAAATTTAACTTAACGATAGCAACCCTAACTAATATGTGCTTCGGATTTTGTCAAATACATTAATGGCTTTCCTCAGTCTTCCTTTAAGGAGGGCGAATGTAAAGAATGATCAAATTTCACGATACACGCTATCGTGGTGTAAGTGGTTAGAATATTCAACTGGACCCTTGAAGATCTGCGGTTTGAGTTTCGACAAAGGAGTGTTTGATTTCGCCTTTTCCCTACTTTAGTTTTTTTATAACCATATAAATATATTTATCAAAACAATGTTTTTATGATTATTCCTGTACATGGCAACTTAGGTTTTTGACTAACCTATATTAAATTATCAGTTGGAGTAATTTAATTTTACCAAGTAAATTTACCAAGAAAAGCCATCCTGCAAATATATTACATTTTCAATTCTTGAATGCGTATATGATTTCTTCCTATACAAAGGAAGCATTCGATAATCATTTTCTTGAAGAAACCTGGGAAAATGGATCTTCAACTTCAGATTACAGACCCGTCAGTTTACTTTCAGCTGTTGGCAAGCTGTTTGAAATATTAGCCATTAAAAGTTATTCCCTTACTAAATTCGCTGAAGACAATACTATTGTTAAGGAACATTAGTTTGGATTTAGGCACGGATTTAGCACCACCCAATAAGTTACAAGAATTACTGAAACCATCGATGAAGCCTTTAATACAAAAGAAACGGTTGCTGGCATCTTCATTGATATTGAAAATGCGTTTGATAAGGTTTGGCACCCAGGCCTCCTTATCAAACTTATCGGAAACAAATTTTCCCCTGAATTAATCCTCCTAATTTCAAGTTTTTTGGAAAAAGAACTTTACAAGTTCGTTTTAAGAATGACCTATCTAATATCTGTGTAATGAAAGCA